CGATCGATCGGTAAAAGATTTCGAAGTACAATACATTACTGTACATTATGCTGAATCCTTGCTGTTAAAAATAGCACGTAAAAATGGTCCAGCGCCTATATAAAAACAGGCAGAGTAAAGAAGTGCCCTGAATTGTCTCCTTGTCAAGCCAAGGATTCGCGAGAAACTCGCGAACGGAAAGTAGCACGTTGCTTATAGTTTGTTTTTTCAATTTGCACTTACGACGGCCCGTTGTAAAATCGCAGGGTTCGTAATTGAAGATTGAAAGATTAAGAGAGAGAGAGCGAGAGAGAAAGAGAGAGAGCGAGAGAGAACGAACGAACGAAAGCGAGAGAGTGGTGCCACATTATTACAATTTTAGTTACGTAGACGTAATTTTTAGAGGAGAAAGAAACAATACTTATTTAGAGCGATAAGTCTTGAATTTTAATTGTATAAATCTTGATTTATGTATGTTAATTTTAATCTTTTTTTTTCATCAAAGGTTATAGAATGACGAAGTGTATATTTAATATCACATGTTAGATGATACAGTTATGATTTATATATTTCGCCAAATTTATATAAATTTACATATATTTTAATATAGCATATTTTATATTCTGTATGTTTGTTGCGAAGAACGTAATCTTGTATCAGTGATTTTTTTTTTCCATCGAGGAACCGTTAGGAACGTATATCGTTTGATTGTGTAATGTGTAATGAGACATGTATGTTTCTCTTTTTATACACTATGACCATAGAGGTACGAGGATCTTGCGAAACAGATAGATTATTTATAATGTTTTGAAAGAGATAGGGGCAGCTTCGAGCATTTAGAAGTGCTCGTTGACTGCGATGATGAATTTTCTTTGATTAGATTCCGTGTTGGGATATGTGTAAACGTATTTTATACATCGACCGTTAAGATACTGTCGTTCTCTTGCTTGATTTCGCCCGGACCCGTGTACATAAAGCGATTAGATAATCAAAATTGTGCATACAAGTGTTACTACCGAGGAACCTGCCTCGGGGCGTTCCGAGTGAAATTAGGGCGATCACATTGCAATTCGCTTAGCACGTATCACAAGACACCCGCTTTTCATTTAAAGTAATTTTGCAATTCTCTCGATAATCGCTTATTGTTTCTTAATGATCATGGACGCTGTACGTTGAGCGCAAACGCACGATCCCGCTATGCCGTTTAAAAAAAAAACGAGAGAACAGGCATATCGACCTCTGCTCGAAAGAAAAGAAGATAGAATACGACATTATTATAACTAAATGGTTAAGGTGAAATTTTTAATTCTCGAGATGAGACACGCATACACGAGTAAGATATCAATCCTGTCATACTTGGTCCATTGCACATTGTATTTGAAAAATATACGCATACAAGGCATATTGTATAAATTTAAGTAAAAAATTCTAATAATACACACGCAGAACTGTTTGCTCATCTTATCTTATTATTACTCAATTTCGTTTTAAAAACGCTTGACGCATTTTTCTTTTCTTTTTTTTTATCAAAAAAAAAAGAAAGGTACAAGCGCGATCGTCAGCAAAATGTGCAATCAGTATACGCAATTACGCATAATTGTCGACGTGAAGACGATGATGACGCGTTGTTCACTTGCACGCATTTTCTAGAGATCGTTCTTCATTCCGACCTCATTAAGTACGACTAAGATGTGTTTAATGAAATGTAATTCGACGTTGCGCGAGAAATTATTTTTTCCTAATTCAGAAAGAAAAGAAAATTTATCGCCGGGAGATTCATCTGCCGGATCCTCTTCGTTCTTACATATATTCGACTTTCATCTCAAACCCGCACTCCGACAGCTCCGATGGACGAACGTAACATCATCAGGCGACGAAGTCGTCGATGCTTGCACACATCTGAAGATACAAGGTGCCATTCGGGACCGAGTTAAATTATACAAATGCGACCACGCAAAGGGATTATGGAGGAGCGTTTTCGACTCGCGTAACGATTAAGTGTCTTAACGTTAGCTCTTATTAGATATATATAAGTGCTTCGGATGCTGGTTTGCTAAGGTAATCAAATAAACTAACTGTACGATGTATATATTCGTTGACATATATCGATCGTGGTATATGCGTACCGCGTACGTAAGACTCTAGTGATCATATCTTTCTCGCACCGCGCGTTTCTTTACGTTTTCTTCTCGACTTTTACTTCCTCGCGCGACGGTAAATCCTCCCCTTCCTCAAGTATAACATGTACATATTTCTCATCGGACATTGGCTCTGTACGTGATTTTCTCGTTGAATCTCAGTAAGCACCAACTAAAACTAACATAACATCAATATTATAATTTCACACTGAGATGGTTAACTCTCACGGTTAACGCTTAACCGAGATTCAACTTGTTTCTCATCTCTTTCCAATTCTAGCAAAGAGATGAAGAAGATAAGTTAAACCATGAAAGTAGGCCTGAGTAATGTAAATCTAATATAACACATGTGTTACATTTGGTGCTTTTCAGCAAGAGACTTAGTGTGACACAGTGATCATATCATCTTTGTTTAACATTAGCTAACAACAATAAGGATGTAATGATTCACTATATTACAAACTGATCTCTTGCTAAAAAGCATCCATTGTTGAATATGAAACTATAACATTGATGTTACATGTTACTTCCCTATAGGCACACAATATTCCTAGAATGTTATATGAATATTATTTACCTTTTTTTTTTATTATTTATATAACATTCTAGGAATATTGTGTCTTACAGGGTTTTAGTTGGTGTTTACTGGGCTGGATCTTTTCTTCTCCCCGCTATCGATCGCGGTAGTAAAAATTCTTAAACGAGCGAGCACGCGTAATTTTTTTTATCTTTTTTTTTTATTTACTTTGATTATGCTTGCTGCTTTACGCGCGCATTTCATAATTGATAAATTAAAACGCGAGGATTGCGCGTTATTAAAAACTCCGTCATGCGTGTGACGAATTCGAAAACAAATTGTCCTGCAGCTATTCCTATCATTAAACGCTACCTTCCGTGTCGTCCGGGATTTTATTTTTTAATATTATTACAACGAAATTGCGCGTGATTGTACAAATCTTATATGTAATAGCGATGAAAAGTCGCGAAAATAAGACGTTTATTAAGCAGGAAAAAATGTTAAAGACACGAACAGCACACAGCCGTTTGTTATAACGCGTCACAGGATTAATATGTTGAAAAAAGAAAAGAGAGAATAGCACCGTTAAAGATGTGGGAACGATATGATGACCGTTTAGACGCAAATTGAATAAGTTTCTGTGCTTGTAACCAGTTTCGCCGAATCGGCGCGATTCGCGCGTTCTCCCATGCTATCTTAATTAACTAGCGAGAATTTTATATACCTGTAGAAAAGAAACGTCCTCCTTTTTCTCTCCCCGGGGAGACGTTTCTTCCTCTAATTATTTCGACAAAAGTTGTTTTGTCTCGTAAGATAATTGTAAGAGTAAGATAAGCATTTTACGATCGAATAGAGGGTGAGATACATATGTATAATTAACTTCACGCAGTTCACGCAACTCTCTCGATGGCGAGTCGAAAAATTTAACGCAGACACGCAAAAGTGTTTTGTACAAAGGTCCTTTGGTTATGTATGTATAATAAAGTGACGTCCAGAAATATCGCGGGTGATCGTTCTTTCGAAGGGACAGTGAAGTGAACCTTGTTCGATCCTCGCTCGAAAATCAAAGAATTTTAATTTTGCGGAGAAATTACAAATATTACATGAAAATCATGAAGTTGATGTTTATTTTTCCATATATAATTATAATAAAATTATGTTTCTTTTTAGAAATTTTTTAAGTTAGATTAACTGTATCTCAATTTCCTCAATGAAAAAGCCAAATCTTTTATAAAGAGCATAATTTTGAAAAATTACAAAATTTGAGAATCCTATCCTTTACGCAAAAAATACGATATTAATTTAAAAAATTGAAACGGTCAATAGATCGTTCAGTACTTTTAGTATTAATTTATCTTGAGGATTCTTCCACGAAATGCGTTATATCCTTGATGAAAATTTTTCAAAATTTCCGTACGTTTTAAAATTTTTCTAAATTTCTGTACAATTGTATAACATTTTAGAAAATGTTTTAAACTTTTCTTATAAATTGGAATACTTCAGAAATACTGACCAAGTCTACATTGTTCCTGAAATTTTTTACATATGTAAATTCTGATAAGATTTCTCATTCTATAATTTCTGAAGAATTATAAAACCTGAAGAAGTTTAAGTTTACTTTTTCAAAAATCTTCATAAATTTAAAATATAGAAAACTCAAAAATATTATAAGACGTGAGAATTTTTTTCATCAAAGGTCACATGCATTAAGCCACGTGGTTTCGTCCAGTAAATAAGTACGAGTGGCGTAGTATAAAAATGTGTTTTAATAAATATCAATAGAAAAAAAGTTACAGAAAATATCTACAGGGATTACAAATGTCGATATATAAAATTACATGTCCCGCAACATAATTATCTAGGACCCTTACATTTGTCAATGTATCTAGTCTTAACATTAGTCTTAATCGTAATATTGATACGGTGACCATATTTTCTTAAAGAAAATAAAGGACAAATCTGAAAATTTTAGGACTTTGTCCCTACATATTTTTAAACCAGTTCGTGGTTGTGCATTATAACATTTTATTGCACAGTATAATTAAATAGAGATAATGCGCAGTTTTCTGACAGTTTAAAACTGATTCGACTGTATTGGAACAAACCTTTGATCTAAAATAACAAAAGATTTGAAATAATAAAAAATGGAAACAGCTCTAGTTTGAATAAATTTAATTTAAAAAATTAAGAAATATATAATTAACAAAAACAAATTGTATTTATATGCATAAAACTGTAAGATATTTCCCGTAAAATTTTGCTGATTGATATAATATTATAGATATTGGAACGCTAGTTAGAAAAGAATTTCCCATAATGTCAAAATAAAGGACAGTAAAGGACAATATTGGAAAATAAAGGACAAAATTGAATTTTGAAAAAACAAATAAATCTAAAGGACAGCTACCTAAAGTAAAGGACTCCTTTACAATAAAGGACGTATGGTCACCGTAAATATTGATCGCTATAGCTAAAGGTAATCGTAATACTCTTCATTGTGACACCCGATTGTGAAATATTGTCGATTTTCATAGATCCGTTCGCACGCGTATCCCTTCGCGCGTTAGTAATAAATATTACGCCATTTAACGATCAAAATTCCTGCGGCGGGTATTGATAAAACGACAAATCCGAAAAATACAGGCTGCCCAAATATGGGACAGTCTTCGCTCGTGCGATGAGTAGAAGTAAAATAATCGATTTTTGCAAAAATGGGACCAATATTCGCGAGTACGAAACGAGTTCTAGATTACAAGGCACTAGTAAGAACTCAATTGTCACTCTCTTTCCAAGTAGTCATTGTACTTCGCGGATAATGAGAGCTTTATTTGTCGTAATATAAGACTAGCAAGATATACAGGGTGTACCACCGCTAAGGCATCGTTCTTTGATGGCAGATTGGGACGAAGCGTTTTGTTTGAAAACAGCTGATTCGTACGAAGTTGAATTTACGAAATTACTCTCAAAGTGTTCTGGATTCGATTCCCGACGTTCGTCCCATATACTAACTTTACAACTTTTCTGATTCTAAAGGCATATTTCAGAGTGAAAATGTTGCCTTTATCGTCCTATAAATACAATTTTGTAATCTTTCAATTTTTAACATTATACATCCTTCGACCACCAAGTCTCGACGTTAAAATTTTATCAAGATTTGCTCGCGAGCGCGAGATTAGTCGCAAAATATCGTCTCATCCCTTCTTCAAAGCTTAACTTGATTTCTACTAAAACTTAATTAAATTTTTTTAAATCGCACTTTATCTTTCAATCTTTTATCAGTACTCTGATATTTCCGCCGAACAGAATTTCATCTAAGTGGCCGAGAAATACATTACTGAAATATTACCTGATAGAAGTGAAACGCCCTGTATATGAGATTCAAGCGTTTTTTTTATCGAAATTGCGCGTTTGCTCGACTGTACGGGTATACAAGCACCATCAAAGTTGCGTTCGAGAGTTTTCTAGGAATACTACGTCGATAAAGAGAATTATAACTCTCTGGTTATACAGGAACATTTATAGTGGAGTCTTTTATGTTTCGAACGCTTTGCTGTTGTTACGACTCTAGGCTGTTTCTCTTAATCGTAACGCTTGTGTATTGAAAGATTCTCTTTGGGATATTTTCTATGTACAATGATGGATAGCCGTCGTGTCGCACTTGAATTGAGAAAAAGCGACTGCATTTTTCTTTCTTTCGTTCAAAAATGTAATTTTGCACAATAGTCTGTGTATTGTTTTTCAATTCCAGAAAATACGATCGTAAATATATGTACAGTAAACATATTCTGTCACTAAATTGCGTCCTACTCGGTTGACGTTTCGTCATTAATGACGTATTACGTCGTAATATGACGTATGTACCATAAGCCTGAGATTTATAGTAACTATCATCTCTTTGCTCAAAAAACCTGCGTAGATAATATATGTTATGTAATTTACATCGAACACGCATGTCTTCCACAAAAGTTTCTTCGAGTAAATCGCAGTGCTCTGTTTTACTTGCAATGTGAAAAAAAATTGCATTTTATCTCGACGCTTATAAATTTATACAAAGAAACTAACGAACACCGCAAACATTTGTACTTGTCGATACCCGAGAAAAACTCAGTCGCTCACATGAAGATATATGATTGCGCGTCATTAATTAAAAGTAAATATTCAAATGATATGTAAATTGATTCGACCTTGTTCACGAAGACAAATTGGAGATTCAATGAACAATTCATAGTACATGACTTCCTAAAATAATCAATACATGATGCATATACGAGAACTTGAAAATAAAACGCGTCACATCGAGTCCTTACGATATAATTTTCAAAAACTATTTCGCGATATGAAATACTACGTCGTTTTTCTAAATAACAATAATGTAGATACAAATTATACCTCGAGAATTCCTTTCTAAAATTTATTTGATCGTATTGTAACGATTTCCAAGTTCAAAAAAGCTTGAAAGTCGAGTATATTCGAGGCTGTGCCGATTAAACCAGAGCCTCGGCGTGATAGTGATGATAGTGATGATGTATGTGCTCGTGGACGTGTCTTCGACTGGACGTGGCCGCCACCGCATTTTGCGAGAATTCACGTTCGAGCCAACGCACGACCTGCGCCATCGCTCGGGCCTGGTCTTGCTCCCGCGTGGCGTGCTTCAGCTGATGCTTCTTGCTCGCTCTACCACATTGCGTATGAACGAATTGCGCGTCATTGCGCTGCAAATTGTTGTGATTGTTGGTAATGGTCTGATGATTGGCCGTTTGTTGATTATTATTGGGAACGAGGTTGACGATGTTGCGATGAACATTGCTGCTACTGTTGGTATGCTGTGACGTGTCATTGTGGGTAGTTGGCGCGATCACGTTACGATTCAATAATTGCGAATACGTCGTATAAGTCTGGGGAGAGGAATGTGTCACATTGTTCCTCGGTGTCGTGTGTCGCGTTTTTCTGAGATTCGCCGATCGCGACTTGACCGGCGTTTTGGGAAACGACACGGAATTATGAGTGCTTTCCCGGATTGGTTTGTGATAGTTTGTGCTCGCTTGACGAGGCTCTAGAGACGTGTGACAGTCCTGATTATTATGATTCGTAGTTTCTACATGGGGACTATGAGATGGAATGCGTGATTGTTCGTTTTGATGCCGTTTTCTGTAGACAAAAAAGTAGATTCAATTGGTGTATTGAATTAAAGAATTTTGAGGAATTTAATTAAATAATATTCGAGAATATTAAAAGAAAATTGCTAATCAAAAAAAAAATTTTAATTATTTTATTATGCGTATATAGGTAAAGTTACTATACGAAATTTTAATACGCCCTATGATAATTTCAAATGATCGCAAAACTGATCGCAATTAATTTACCTTGATGTATGAAAACTGAGATTATTTTTCTCCATATTGGCCTGAATAATCTCCAGCAATTGTTGTCTTTGTAGGGCGCCGCTGCGTTTCCTCTGATTCGTCGTAAGAAGCGGCGTTAATGGCGAGAACGCGGGGGAAGTGTCACTATCATCGCTCACATCACCCTCCGAGCTGTTTGAATAGGGAGATGGTAAATGGGGCACCGGACCGACTCGTCTACGTAGCTCCTCTTGCTGCACTCGATTCGTTCTGGCGTTCTCGTCGTCGTCCTCACTATGTGTATCCACTTCTTTTCGCTCAGTCTGCAATGGAAATTGAAATAACGATTAAAACAACCATGCAACGACACGCCAAACGCAACACGAATAATGACGTATTAAACAAAACGCACAACTTATATTTATAAAATGATAGGAATACTTTGCTATACGAGTATTTAAAGTAATCGGATCGTATATGACTTATTTAAGCTTTGCAATTTTTATAAGTTTTTGCTGAATTCAAAATTGAAAATTAATAATTAGATTTAAAAAAGGAAACATTTTTGAACATTAAAAAGATTTTTTTTAATATTCACATGTGAAGATTTTAAGAAAAATGTAAATATTTGAAAATTTCATTTTTATTGAGAAATGTTTCCTCTTTGAAATCTGACCATCCATCTTCAATTTTAGATTCAGCAAAAGATTAGAAAAAATCGCAAAGCTTAGGTAAGCCGTATAGGATCCAATTACCTTAATTACTTTAATACATGAAGACAACTGCGAAGACAACCTGAATAAAATTATGAAAATGTTATATACAAATCTTGCGAGAGAAAAAGCAAGAACACTTTATCTCTTTATTCTTATACCTTCTTCTGTCGCGATTGGTATCCCGACTCGCGTATCGCGCGCATGGCTCAGATGTCGGAACGGCTGATCGCGGTTGCAGATGTACATACATACATACATACGTACGTACGCAACGTGGTACATACGGAGGAATGTAGGTCTCACCTGACAACGATATCGCGTTGCTCTTCTCCTTCTAGGAACTCTGCTCGCGCCATGCCGAGTAGCAGTGGTGGCGGCTGTTGCGTGGCTGCACGGGGCGGCGTGTTTCAAATGGCAGCAGGACGGGTTGTGGTGCTGATGACCGGGGAACGTTGCAGTCTGTGATGTTTGCGTGGCATTTAGGCAGGTGCCAGCGGCATTGCGCGGCGCCTGGCTGCTGCTGCTGCTGCCCCGCTGATCCGGCGACACCGTCAGTTTTACCTTAATTGTCTTACTGCCGCACGGCGGTACTTGTATCGAAGCGCCTAACGTATCGTAAATGGTGGTCACCAGACCAGCTATGTCGTCCTTGGTGATCTTCCCGTGTCCGTCAAAGTCGTACAGAGTGAAAGAGAACTCCTGCCGCCTCCTGTCACCGTCCGCGACCGACACGTCGCACTCGAATTCCTGCAACGAGAACGAGATCGCTCGGATCAAAAAAGAAAGTTTCAAATGCGCGACTCTAATAATTATGGATAACATAATTACGTGGCAAAAGAAAAATTTAATACCAATATTGTTTCCTCCTTCACTTATATAATGGAATCGATATTTCTTGGAAATTTCAATTGAGGGGATTGGCGGAATAAAGGCACAATTCTACTTAGGCCCTTTTTCCGGAAATTAGCGCAAATAAACGAGGAACTGACATTGCTTAGTTAAATATTAGTTAAATATGAACGTGTTTCGATTGTCCTGTAGTGGTGAAAATGATATAATCCATGGAAAAAGAGCATAAATGATTTAAAATCATTAATGAGATTTTTACCAGAGACTGAACGAAAATGGTATGACAATAATGTGTTTTCATTACGACATATTTATGTTAAAAAATCTTATGAAAACTCATTAGATGATGATTATTTCAATTTATTTTGTACAAGTAAAAGTAAAATGTATTTTATATTCATTTTGTATTTCTTTTAAAAGAATGTGAAAATAAAAAACTCTGTTCATAGTCTTTTCTTTCTGCCGATTCTTACAATATTATGATCAATATTCGGAAAAAGGGACTAATTGTAAGTGCATTTTTTAAATTGCAAATAACTTTTTAAATATTGATCATAATAGAGACATATAATATACAGGGTATCCTATAAGATTTTGCCAATCGCTTTTGTGTAGATAGAGCGGACTAAACTGAGTCAAAAAGTCCTCTGATATTTTGCAATTTTCGCAATAGTTAACAAAATATAATTATTAAAAATTGCCGAATATTGGTCTTCAATAATTTTTTACTTAAATATCAATTTTACAGAAAAACTGCAAGAGACAAAAATCGTTTATTTTCTTCTCATAAGAATTTTTTCAGAATTTTTTATCAACTTTTTAGTACTTTAGGTCGGATATCCGACCGGATTTCGGAAAACTGTCTTCTAAAAAAAAAAAAGTAAAAGGGCTGTAGAGAAAAAAATTGTAATTTTGCAACAATAAGATATTAATATGGCATTATGAATATGCATACTCATTTCTAAAACATTTATACAATAACAAACAAGGCTGGACATGTATTTGAAATACTTTTATTTGAAAAACAGTATTGGTAAGACAATTATATTTTGTATTTTATGTTTCATGGGAGCATATAAAAGTATTTTGTATTTTGTATTTCAGTATTAATAACAAAAGATTGAAAGTATTTTGTATTTTATACTTCAAGTACTAA